AAATAAAAGATCAAAATGATTAACAATGCAGATTTATTTTCACAGCCTTCTTTGATCATATTTACCAAGGGTGCCAATAATTCTGACCACGACTGTATCTAGTATGATAAAACAGCGCTGCTTACTTCCGCTGCTTTCCGGAAGGAGAGGAAGCGGTCGACTGTGTCATAATAAAAGCTCTGCTGCTTTCGAACCGTGTGTCGCGCTTGGTCAGCGGCCTCGTTTTGCTTCGACGGCTTTCCGCCTCACTCTGCTTCATACTACGATGTTAATAAATCTTTAATACATTAGCTCATCCATGAACATGATTTCTGCCTGAGTCCCATCGGATTGATTCGGCTTGATTGTGGGGATGAAGACGACAACTCCCATGATTCCACACCCAGTCACGGCGTCATCTTACTACGCCTTTGTTTGTTTTGAATACGCGCCCTTTAGTGGCAAAAAATTACATATTGTGCCTTTAAATAATGTCATTTAATATGTATGGCGATGAACATACAGCTAACTAAAGCCAATATGTTTGCAATGTGACTTTAAATTGCTTTATTATTCTTACAGATAATATATTGGTCTCTTTAGACACAGTTTGCTTCATTTGTCATTTTAGAAATTCACATTCTCTATGGAAGTAAAGGTATTTCTCTGTAGTTTCATAGCATTAAACAGAACCACAGCTGGAAGTAATTCATCATAAAGCACCATAGGGAAATAATTGCCGGTTCTCCATAACGTACCATGGTGACATCAGTCAGGCTGCCTAACGTCATCCAGCAGTAGCGTGTTGGCTCGTGAAAGAGGCCACGTGTGTATGAATCTCACCCCTGCACTCTCATGGCTATCCCACACACACAGGGCAGGAGTCCAGCTTCACCGAGGCACTGTGGAATTTGGAGGGTAGTGGGGGAAATGGTACAGTATGACTACAGTCTGCCTGACACGCTCGTCACTAACCAGGGGAGAGCATCCTCCTCAGGGCCCATCAGCCCATCTAACACCACAAATAAAACAACAACAACAAACGGCCTCAGTGGGGGGGGGGAAAGGAAGCCAGAAAATGAAGCATTTTAGGGGTCTGTTTACAGAGCTTTTATTACCAACATCAGAGGCAAAATCAAGCACATTTCTGATCATTTTGACAAATGCATTTTTAAAACAAAAATTTCTTCACCAGTGTTGTTGAATAAATCCTTATTATATAAATCTGTAAAATCATCTTGATTATGAATTTATCCTGATAAAAATAACTGCATCCTATAAAACAAGATTTAACTGGGGAAAATAGTGTGAGAAAAGATCATTTCAGATCATTTATTTTTCATGTTTTGAGTATAAATGTAAATTAAGTGAGGTTTATTATTTAAACAGTTTGTCAGTAGGGTATATATTTGCTTATTATCTACATCTTATTATCTTAAGCAGTTATGCAAATTAGTTGTTATAAGGATGTTATAATATTTTAATAAAAATCGATAAAATATTAAGACAATTATTTTTTGTAGTATATTTAAACTACCATTCAAAAGTTTGAGATCAGTAAGATTTTATGATGTTAAAAAAAGATTTGTTTCAAATAAATGCGGTTCTTTTGAACATTCAGAATAAATTCTGAATAAACTGAATAAATTACATTTTAAAATGTATTAAAAAAAGAAAACCATTGTTTTAACCCACCCCAAACTTTTGAACGGTAGTGTATGTGTAATGATTTAATGATGTAATGAATATCTAATAGGTGCTTGATGTCCCTGAAAGTTTTCATACACAAAATTAAAAACAATGTATAACAGCTTATTGATGCTGGTGTCTTGTAAATAGATCCCTGAAATATTGTGCTGTCAAAATGAATGGTCTCAAATCTGCACTCAGTTGGTTACTGTGTCCTCTGTAAAGTTTTAAATGTAACGTTGAGGGGGAATTCTATGTCTACACTGTAAAACGCTGAAAGTTTATGGTAGTTTTTGGTGCCGTTTTTGTGGGTAGTATTAAAACTGTGAGGGTTGCAACACTGTGACATTTTCTTAAGGAGAACATACATAGAATTCCCCTTTAGCATCTCCTGAGGCGTCTTGTCCGGTCAACCTCTCACGGCAGTTTCAATTTGTCATCTCTTTCTCATTAAATCCTTGTTTCTCTTTGTTACGAAACCAACAACCGACATATTTTCCACACTTTCACCTACAGCGACGTCTGTAAACACGATGTCCTCACACTGTGAACAAACACGTTTTTAGTTACTAACCTCTGAATGTCCGTCATTTATACACTTGAGCTGACCAGACAGGTGAGTTTTCGGTCAGAAACACTGAGCATGAAGCACTTCTTGGTAAGCACTCATTTGCCTGAGGGTTCTCCGGTTATTACATGGTTCAAGAGAATGCTTTGTGAGGAATGCATATTGTTGTTCCCAACTGTGAATGTTACTTTGACAGCAGTGTGTATTTGCATTCATTTTCATTTATCTCATGAAGATAAATTAAATGTATGTTGGATTTTTTTCTTTAGTTTTTTTTTGTTGTTGTGAGTTGCCCTTGATGATTGTATGTTCCCAATGAAGGCTGCTATTTGGAATCTAGCATTTATAACTTATAAATAGTAATTCATCAGATCAGATGTGGTTTAATGTAGTCAGGGGCTCAGTTCTGTTCATTGACTGCTTATTTTGTTATTTGGTGAAGCTCCACAGGGTGGTAGTATAACCCAGAGTTGGCACCTGGGGTTTATTTTTTTTGGTTTCTCTTTTCCAGACTCTCCTATTGAATATTCTGCATATTTCCATGATAATGGATACCTGGCTCTTCCGAAGCCCATGTTCCCACGAAGGTGAGGGCCTATTGATGAACTGTGTTCGGTGTTTGTTTAACTGACTTAATTATCCATTTAAATGAGTGCTGTCAAATTCAGCAGTTTACCACAGAAAATCATTTTGGCTTGTCTCTCAGCTTGTAAAAGCAAACAAAAAAAATAGTTTTTTGAGTGTTGTCAAGCAGTATTGATGGTTTGTTTTGTTTCAGTGCTCCTGACTCTCCAGAGACCATCGAGTTAGAGATCAACACTGTCGCTAAAGACGGACTCCTCCTGTGGCAGGGAGTGGTATGTTTGGACACATGAGCCCCCTACTGGATCTCAGGGCACATAGATTCAGGGTCCAAATTTTCAAAAACTAAAATAATTATAATTTATTCTGCACCATTTTAAGTTGCAATTTTCCATATAAAAAATTTATATACTATTATATTTTTATGTTTATATATATATATATATATATATATATACTGTATATTTATGTTTTATATATATATGTATATGTGTATATATATATGTATATATATTTTTTTAAGTTGAAAAATTAAAAAGTTGCAATTTTAGGTAAAAGTCACCAGTTTTTCATTGTTAATTTTGGACCCTGCATACACTCACATTCTGATACTGTATGCACAGTGTCATTTACATTTTATATTCAGCCTCATTTCACTAAACCGAGTAAAATGAGTTTGCTTGGAGCTGTTTTGGAATATGCTTTTGTCCTTCACCTCTAAAGCACATTTTAATGGCTGCATTGCATGCTTGCCTGGCTAACTCACCTTCATCTTCCTCAGGAGCCTGCAGGCGCTCTAAGCCTCCGTAAGAAGCATGCTAGTATAAAGGTATTCACTCTTCACAAGCAGTCAGCTTGTTTACTGTACATACAAGTACAGTATGTCTGCATTAGCATGAATGTATCATCTCAGAATATATGCAAAATATATTTGAACTTTACAGCACTTGCACAGATACATTTAAACATTTTGAAAACAGCACTTATATTTACTATTGATTTAGCAAATGCCTTTTCTTTCTCACTTACAGTGCACTAACTGGCCGCACGGTTGCTCAAGAGCACAATTATCCTAGAAAAGCATTTGTTAAATAACTAGGTTATTCAATGGCTGTAAGTGAACAGGCTCAGGAATTATCAATGGGTAAAAAAGTGAAATTTCACCTCATTTATCGTTTGCATGTGTTAGTGTGATTTCAAAGTTGCTCTTTATTTATGACAGTAGTTCCCAACCCTGTTCCTGGAGCAAGTTCTATGCAAACTTCTGTTCCATTCAAAATGTACAGTGTGGGGGCTCAAGGAACAGGGTTGGGAACCACTGATTTATGACACAAGTAGCCTTATGTTTGCATATTTATCACCTGCTTTTCCACCTGTTCAATCAACACACCTGTGTTACTGCAACAGTTTATCACATACATTTGCACTTCACAAGTAGGGTTTGTTGTACAGTCAACAATTTCTGAAGGTGTTTTTTTTTTTTTTGCCTTCG